TAGTTAGAATTAGAAGTGACCATGGGAAGCAATTTGAAAATAACAAGTTTGATGATTTCTGTTCCTCTGAAGGAATTAATCATGAGTTCTCTTCACCTATCACTTCTTAATGATGTGTTTGAGAGAAAGAATAGGATAATTCAAGAAAGTGCAAGGGTCATGCTTCATGCCAAGAAACTTCCATATCATTTTTGGGCTGAAGCCATGAATATTGCTTGTTATATTCTAAATAGAGTAACCATCAGATCTGGTACATCTGCTACTTTATATGAGCTATGGAAAAGAAGAAAGCTAATTGTGAAGTACTTCCATGTCTCTAGAAGCAAATATTACATTTTGGTTGACCGTGAGTAAAGGAGAAAGATGGATCCTAAAAGCGATGAAGAAATCTTTCTGGGATACTCTACAAATAGCAGAGCCTATAGAGTATTCAACTCCAGAACTAATGTTGTGATGGAATCTATAAATGTTGTGGTTGATGACTCAACTACAAAAGCTGATGTCACATGAGATGTTGGAACATTGCATGATGTTCCTGGAGATGCTACAGACTCAAGTGTTAATCCTGAACCTACAGAGATTGAGACAGTAGACAAGGGACCCTCCATCAGAATTTAGAAAGATCATCCTAAGGAGCTTATAATAGAAGATCGTAATGGTGGAAGAATGACCAGATCAAGAAAAGTTGTTGTTGGTGCTTGCTTTGTCTGAAAATTGGAACTCAAGAATGTCAAGGAGGCCTTGATTGATGAATTTTGGATCAATTATATGCAAGGGGAACTGGAGCCTTCAAAAGGTATGAGGTTTGGGATTTTATGCCAAGACCTGAAGGGTCAAATGTTATTGGTACAAGATGGGTGTTTAAAAACAAGTCTGATGAGCAAGGTCTGGTCACCAGAAACAAGGCTAGACTCGATGCTCAAGGGTACACTCAAATTGAAGGGGTATACTTTGATGAAACTTTTTCTCCTATTGCTAGGCTGGAGTCTTTTAGACTGTTACTTTGAGTGGCTTGTTATTATGAAGAAGTTTGGTTTGGAGAATGCTAGCCACAAAAGGACTCCTGCTCCTACACACTTGAAGTTGCCTAAGGGTGAAAAGGGTGTTGGTTTTGATCAGATTTTATATAGAAGCATGATTGGCAGTCTTCTATACCTTACTGCAAACATACCTGACATAACTTTTACTGTTGGAGTTTGTGCTAGACATCAAGCTGAACCTAAAGTTAGTCATATCAATCAAGTCAAAAGGATTCTGAATTATGTGAATGATACATGTGACTATGGTTTGTTGTATTCTCATAATTCTAATTCAATGTTGATGGGATATTGTGATGCTGATTGGGTTTGTAGTGCTAATGATAAGAAGAGCGCCTCTGGAGGATGTTTCTTTTGGGGAAACAACTTGATTTCATGGTTCAGTAAGAAGCAAAGTTGTGTTTCTCTATCTACTGCTGAGGCTGAGTACATAGCAGCAGGTAGCAAATGTTCTCAAATGATGTGGATGAAGCAAATGTTGACTGAGTATAATGTCACACAAGATGTCATGACATTATTCTGTGACAACTTGAGTGCCATCAATATTTCAAAGAATCCTGTTCAGCATAATAGAACCAAACATATTGACATCTAACATCATTTCATTATAAATCTCGTGGAAGACAAAGTTATAACATTGAAGCATGTTGCCACAGGGAATTAGCTAGCTGACATCTTTACTAAAGCTTTGGATGCTAATCAATTTGAGGTGTTGAGGAGAAAACTTGGGATTTGCTTGTCTGAATATTTATAGTAGTTAATTTGATATGGGAGTACTATTCGAGTGAGTGTATGTGTGTTCTCATCAAATAAAGAGAGGTTTTCAAAGCCAACTCTCACTTGTAGCATAGTTCTTTAACAATATCCTGGTATTTTGTTGAATGATGATATAGTCATGAAAAGGGAGTCTCCTTTGACTTTGCATCACAAATTGTTTGTTGGTGATCACGTCCAAGACATTGTCACACCAAATTTTGTTACTGATGATGTTGTTGATGAAGATGTTGAGTCAAATGGTGAGGACCTTGAAGAGGAAGATGAAGAGGATGATGAGGCTACTGAAGACGATGTCTATTAGTAGTATTCATTTTTTTGTGGTTATGTTTTGTAAGGGCTAAATGCCCAGGAAATTTTTGGCACTTCATGTGCTTGATCTGTACTTTAAACTCTTGTTCTGCTTGTGTTAATGTTGGGTTGTTTAGTTAGTTAAGTACCTTTGTCATATTATGGCTAAAGGGGGGAGTAATACTAAATTAACTAACCACTGCTAACCATTGGCTGCTGTTGAGAGGAAAAGTGTTAACCACTTGCTGTAGAAGAAGGAACTGATTGAGGGGGAAGCTATATTATTTTCGTTGCTGTTCTGATATTTGCCTTTGACTTTTTGTGTATTTGTATGCAAGGGTTATTTAGTTAGTTTTAGCCAAAATCTGTCAAAGGGGGAGATTGATAAGTCCAAGCTTTTGAGATTGGCATTAATTATGGTAAAACTAACTTGACAACAAGATGTTGGACAAGATGTCCTAACATGAAGAACAAGATGTTCTATCATGATGATTCGACATCTTTGTCTGTTACTTTGCAATTTTGGTACTGCTTATTTGTTTCCAGATTTCAGAATATTGTGAGAATATTTGTTTATCCTAGGTGGCATTCAAGATTGAGGTATCAGAGATTCTGTTTGAATTTGAAAATTTTGATTTCTAAGTGTGGTGATATTTTAGGAAACTTTGGATTGAAGAAATTATTCTTGAGGAGAATGAGTTGCAGATTCTGTTTAATAGAATTGCTGCATTTTTTAAGTCCAAATCCAGTTTACTTTATGGTTATAAATAGGATGGACTTAACCTAATCAAGGTATGGAAATATATTATTGCTTAGTGAGTTTTAAGGTTTGTGTATTTGTGAGCCTCTCTTGTATCATGTTGATACTAATTTTGGACTGTTTGTATTTAGTTGTAATTTCTGTCACTGTTGTGATTGAAAGAGAATTAAGAATGGTCTCATACCTAGGAGAGTCTTAGGTAGAAATCAAGCATGGGTAGTGATTAGTTGATAAGTTGTAAATCAGAAGTTGTTTAGCTTAGAATTAATACTATCTAGTGGATTTCATTCCTGACTTGGTAGTCCCTAGACGTAGGTGTTGTTGTACACCGAACTGGGTTAACAATTACTGTGTGTTTGTTTACTTTCTACAATTTTTATTGTGCTTCTTCTTGTCATTGTGTTTAAATCAGAGATCAAGTGTCTCGACATCTCTTAGGACATCTGAGATCTGCATACTAGAATTTCAATGACATTGTTTATTATAAAGTTGGTTAATGGTGTGACACAAGTTGGTTAATACAATTCTCAAAATGGTTAACGAACCAACATGAGTAAATATATGAGTAAATAAACATGGTTAACGGTGTGACCAAAGTAGGGCAATACTGTTTAGAACATAGTTAATGAACAATTATGAATAAACATGAAATCAATAACAATAAAGAAAGTAGGTTAATATTGAGTTAAATCTAGAAACATATGAATAATCGTGAATAAACATATGATCCAAAAGAAGAACATTGATATTATTGAATAAATCTATAATAATATCTCGAAATTTATCGAATTAAATTTTCATCTTCATTGCATAATGTTGCTAAATAATTTTTTTTTTGTTGATAAATTATGTATTTGGTTGAGTATGGATGGAGATGAAATGAAAAGAAAAGTTAGAAAAGAGATGAGAAATAAATGATGCGAAAAGATCAAGAAGAAGAAGGAGTTATTAATACAAATGATAAGAGTTTGAATATTTAATTGAATACAATGAAGAATATGTAGGTGTTGTTAAGAGGGAGCTGCAATAAAGTGAAAGTTTTGCTATGGCCTATAAAAGTAAAAATGAAAGAGAAACATGTGTAGTATGAATATTTTATTAGTTTTTTAGTATAAAGATATTGTTCATACATTTTGGGTGTATGGTTCAATGTAAACATAGCAAAATTGTATATAAAAGATTGGTTAATACAAATTCATAATTTCTTTAATGAGTTTTCAAAATTAAAAAAAAAAACTTAAGTAATAAAAAAAGTTGAATAATTTAGTATAAAAATTAGATATTATATTTCATAATTTAATGTCAGAATTGTATTAATATTATATATTTTATTATTTAATAAAATATTAAAATTAATTAATAAATTTTGAATAAAATAAGTGATTAATATCGTATATATTTTTTTTGTTAATATAATGATAAAATTGATTAAAGACACATGTTATAAAATAAATTAAAAATATATATTTTTCTTAAGAAAAGAAATTACTCTTTACTGTAGTAAATAGTACATATAGTGTATGTATTGGTGTAATAAATGGGTGTCAAAGAAAGCATAGCTTTTAGTTTTATTTCTATATGTCACCAAACATTTTCTATTACAAAATTATAATAATGAATTGAGTTTTAAACCTACTTACTTTTGAATTGCTCACTTTAAATGTTTTGGCTACACAAATATTTGATTTCAGTGGCTCCAAAGTAGGACTATTACTGTTTTTCCAACTTTGATCTTTCTTCACAAAGACACAAATCCCCATTCCAGAATGCAACTTCAAAAGTAAAGCAAAAATAAGAACAAAAAGGAACTTCACAAGGCTTTAAAAAACTAGTCTTATTTTACTGCTTTTGTTTCAGCTTTCCTTTTTTTATCTGTGTGTGACTGATATTAACTCATTTTCTTTTACTGCACTACACAGTTTCTTGAGTGTCTGCAAAATCATTGCTTTATCACTTTTGTCTGGTAAAGTTATGATCTTTTGAATTACTACCATTTCATGTTACCACTTTCAGCTTTTAAAATTCAGTGGGAAAAGGTATTATTAGGTTTTGAGATTTTTTGATATTAGGGTGCTGGTGGTGTTTGCATGAGGGAAAATGTGGTTGCAAGAGTGTTGAGTAAATGAGTGTTGTGAGAAATGGGGTGTGTGTTTGGGAAAGAGGCTTCACAGAGGAGGAAAGAGGATGTGGAAGTTGCTAAGGTAGAGGAGGTTAAGTGTGAGGTTCAAATTCAAAATGGTGAGAGTGAGAAAGAGGGTGGAGGGGAGGAGGAGGGGAAGAGGAGGAGACAAAGAGAAAGGAGGGAGAGGAGACGATCTTTGAAGCCGAATCCGAGATTGAGTAATCCACCTAACTATATACATGGTGAGCAAGTGGCTGCAGGGTGGCCTTCTTGGCTCTCCAAGGTTGCTGGTGAAGCCATACATGGATTGATGCCTCGAAGGGCCGACAGTTTTCACAAGATCGATAAGGTATGCCGTAATGCCTTGCTTTGTTTTTGTTATCTTCATTTGAATTTGAAGAATCTATAGTTTTTATTATTGGTTATGCTGAGGCCGATGATCAGTAATGTGGAAAAAAATTTTATAAGTTTAGTGGTTGAAATTTCACCTTTTAAAGGCGAATAGTTGGGATATTGCTGATTCTAACCTGTGCCCCTTCAGTCGGATGTTCCTGCACAAATAACAACTGAGCTGACTTAACGGGACTAAGTAATATGGAATTAAGCCATGGAGATTCTATGATGTTTTGTTGTAAACTATAATTGAGATTGAATCTTTTACTTTTGTGCTATTTTTCAATTAGATTGGACAAGGTACATATAGCAATGTTTACAAAGCTAAGGATACTTTAACTGGGAAAATTGTTGCGCTAAAGAAGGTCCGTTTCGACAATTTAGAGCCAGAGAGTGTGAAATTCATGGCCAGAGAAATTCTGATTCTGCGTCGTCTTGACCATCCCAATGTTGTAAAACTAGAAGGTTTGGTGACTTCTAGGATGTCATGTAGTTTATATCTTGTCTTTCAATACATGGAGCATGATTTGGCTGGACTCTCTACAAGCCCTGATATTAAGTTTACGGTGTCTCAGGTATCAAAAATTTGCTTTTGGCGATTGCGATTAAGTTTATGATTCAAAAATGAATATTTTCTTAATTTGGAACTTCTTTAGATTAAATGCTACATGCATCAGCTATTGTCTGGACTGGAACACTGTCACAACCGTAATGTGCTGCATCGTGATATAAAGGGATCGAACCTTCTCGTTGATAATGAGGGAGTTCTTAGGATTGCTGATTTTGGATTGGCTTCCTTCTTTGATCCTAATCACAAGCAACCTATGACTAGTAGGGTGGTTACTTTATGGTATCGATCTCCTGAACTTCTTCTAGGAGCCACCGATTATGATGTAGGCGTGGACCTGTGGAGTGCTGGCTGTATCCTTGCTGAATTGTTGGCTGGAAGGCCTATTATGCCTGGTCGAACCGAGGTAATCTCTAACACTAATTTGAATTTGCTGCAGTCACAATAGTTAGCACATCAGTGACCATTGGGTCGAGATCGGGTGATACAGAAAGCAAGCAATTTCATACTATAGTTTCTGATATAATATGCTTTCATGCTTCATAGGTGGAACAGCTGCATAACATATTTAAGCTATGCGGTTCTCCTTCCGAAGAATATTGGAGAAGGGCAAAGCTACCTCATGCTACCATTTTTAAGCCACGACAATCATATAAGCGGTGCATCGTAGAGAAGTTCGAAGAATTCCCGATATCATCATTGCCATTAATTGAAACCCTTCTAGCAATCGATCCAGCAGAACGTCAAACTGCCACTGCTGCATTGCACAGCGAAGTAAGACAATAATCTAGTTGCTAAATTTATCTTGCGAAATCACATAGATCCTATCTGCTTGAAATCATTAATGTTCAATTATTTTAACATAAGGATCTTAGTTTACTGTTACTTTTTTCCGCTTTTGCAGTTCTTTACAACACAGCCTTATGCTTGTGAACCCTCTAACCTTCCGAAATATCCTCCCAGTAAGGAGATGGACACAAAGCTAAGGGATGAAGAAGCTAGAAGGTGAACGAACCGCTTAAATTGCTTTCGAAGTCTAGCAAAAATTTCACTAACAATTGGTTTCTATATTTTAATTTCAATGTTTTATGACTTCAGATTACGAGCCGCTAGCAAAGGTAATGCTGCTGGCAGTAAGAAGTCGCGTCTGCGTGATCGAAGTGGGAGGGGAATCGCAGTTCCAGAGGTCAATGCTGAGCTGCAAGAAAATATTGATGTATGTTAGATAAGGCGCTTTATTCATTCAAGAAAAAACTTCTAATGCTTTTAATTTCAACACTGCGGTAATTGTTTAATTCATTTCATCAGAGATGGAGACTGATAACGCGCGCAAACGCGAAGAGCAAGAGTGATAAGTTTCCTCCGCCTCATCAAGATGGAACTTTAGGCTATCCTCTGAGTTCTTCATATCACATTGAACCAGTTTTTGATCCTCCTGATGTTCCATTCAGTTCCACAGACTTCTCATATCATAAAGCAAGTATTCAGACCTGGTCCGGCCCATTGATGGAACCGAGGATGAGTGCGCCGAGGAGAAAAAAGAACAAGGCAGGTGACCAGCACATGAGATCCAAGTCATCAAAAAGAAACATAAATAGATAG